AAGCCACATTGCAGGTAATGTGCTTTACATTGCAGCATACCAAACGTCACCTTATTATAAACTAAATATTAGATGTAATATGATTACAATTTAAAATCGATACAATCAAATTATATTATATTTTATAATATTTTTAAAAATAACTTTATCTTTTTAACTTTTTAAAAAATTACTTACAATTCTTTTCAAGCCCTCTTCACTTTCGCTTTACTCCTTGCTGCTTCTTCATTTAACTAAAGTCCTTGCTTCTTCTTCTAGCTAAGGTCCATGCTTCTTCTTCGTCCAAAATTACGGGTTGAAATCTCCCATTCTTCTTCTTCTTTCCTTTTTTAATCTTTTTCTTTGTATTCTTCAAATTGGGATTTTTTTTTTAATTTGTGTCTTCTTCATAGTTGATGAAATTGTGAGTTAAAATCACCCAATCTTCTTTTTCTTTCTCTTTTTTATCTTCCTCTTTGCATACTTCAAATTGTTTTTTTCTTAAATTTAAGTTTTCTTCATATTTATCATTTTTGTTATTCTAGTGTAACAATTTGGCTCCTGATCGGGAAGAGACAAGTAATTTTCTCTAGGATTTTATGAAATTTTTCATTTTATAATTTTTTCTTGAGATCTTTTAAAATCTAACATAATGATTTTATTCTGTTGGGTTTTCTTTGTCAATTGATGTTCAGCAAGTCTTAAAAAATATCATAATCATGATTTTCTATATGATAGCACTGTGTATATCTTGCCCATTTTTTTCTTTTTTCTAGAGGAAGTTGCCGTGATTAATGTATATATATATACAATGGATTAAGAAATAAAATAAAATATTATCTTCTAAAAGAAAAAAATTAAAATATAATATATAATATAAAAAATTATATTAAAAATAAAAATAAAAATATATAAAATTACAATAAAAATAAAATATATTTATGATATGATATTATATAAAAAATAATAATAAAAAATATAAATATATTAAACTTATATTTTAATACATAAAAGTAATTTTAAAAATTGACATTACATTCTTAATATAACACTTATAAACTAAAAATTGTAATGTTATTTTCTTTACATTTTAATCGTTATTCTATTTATATACTAAACACTATAATATTATCTTTTTTACAATAATATTACTTATAATTATATTACTTATAATCATATTATCTATAATTATATTATATTATAAAAAACTAACTATCACCTATGTATTAATCAAAAAATATAACAAAAGTTTCATCATTCAATACTCAAAAGTCAAAAGCTATTGATTTAATTTAGTTTGAGAAAAACAGCTTAAACGTAAAGAAGACTTTACCCACAACTAAGCCCAATTTAGCCCAACAAAAGAAATTTATGGGTCAGATCTGATTTCCTCTTTTGCCCAGGAAGATCAGAATCATCACGAGAACAAAGAAAAGTATCATCCTTTTTTTTAAAAAATATTTAAATATATCTTAAATTATATGAAAAAAGTTAATTTAATTTTTATTATTTTATTACATTCAAATAAAATTTTAAATTTTTATTTTAAATCAAATATGACTCTTTCATTAATTGTTGATTAATTTTCATTTATCAACGATACAGTCGATAATTTTTAATGTCACGTCAATTGTTACATGACATGTTAATTTATCATCTTAATGATGTCAATGTCTTGTGGTAAATGATATGATATTCAAAATAACTGATTCAAAATTAAGTTTTTTATTTTTCAAACGTCTAAAAATTACTGGTTAGAGATCTAAAACAAAAAATTAAATAAAAACTTAATTGTTTCAAACTGATTATAATATTTTTCATTAAAGCCATCATTCCTAATAAGAAAAATCATTTTTTTCAGTTTGGTTGAAACTATTGTTGTTTGACCGAAAGTTGATATAGAGAAATCTGAGAACATCCGTAAACAATTTTGAGAAGAAGAAAAGTAAAGGTATGACACATAATATTTATAATATTGAATCTAATAAAGACATACAATGATGTTCCACAATAAAAAAAAAATCGAATTCTTCTCCTATCTTAATAAAGGAAATATGATGTTCTTCATTTCTAATTATAAGGTATATTGGGTTTAGGGAATGTTGAATAAAGTGAAGGTTTTTTTTTGGTTAGAAAGGATCGCCTAAATGGTAATCAATTTAAAATAATTAGTTTTTTGTTTAAATTTTTGTTTTAAATCCTTAATAAATAATTTTTGAATGTTTGGATGGGTAAAAAAAAAAACTCAATTCTCAATCAATAATTTTTTATATCACGACATTTAACATCATCGAGATGATACTTCAATATGTCACATAAAAAATGACATGATATTGATTAACTTTTTGTTAGTTAACGATTAATGTAAAGAGTTTATTCAACTCAAAATTAAAAGTTTAAAAATTTATTTAAATGTAATAAAAAAAAGTATAAACTAAATTAACTTTTTCAATATAATTCAAAAATTTATTTACGTCTTTCTTTATTTTTTTCTCTTCACTTTTTTAGCCATTACAATCGGCTCACTAAATAATATTACCAAAGTTTTAACACATACTCAACATTTTACTTTATTTACTATGTTAAAAGGTAAAACATGAAACATCACTAAAGGAGAAACAACCCCCAAAGTCAGCAGCCATTTGGTTAGACTTTTTATTTTTTCCCCCTTTGTTAGTTGTGAATATTTATTTTCAAATCCAAAGACCAGTACTTAAATAACGTAGAGTTTAAGCCAGTCGAAAAAGTATTTAAAATTTGATATTATAAAAAGCAAAATCAGATTCAGTGGTTGGATTCCACCATACTTAAAAAAGCAAAATAGAATACAGAGGCTGAGGATTAAAAACATGTGCGCTCATATACCTAGATATTAATGATTCTTCCAGGCTGAAAAAACAATGATTGATAATGATGTAAAGTATTTTTACCCCACACATGACCCAACTCGAGACTCGAAAGAAGCAGAGAGCGAGGGAGAGAATTAGCTGGTTGTTTTTAATTGCAATTTGCTCATAATTTTTTCCCCTCTTTTGCTGTGTGGCTAAGCTGCTTTTGTTTTCTCTCGTAATCAGATAGTTTCTCATTGTTTAAATGATATTTTTATTTGGGTGGTCCTGCTTGAAACTCATCATGGTGTTAACTAATTTCATGCAAGCTAAATCAATCTCCCTACTAATATCTTCTTCTTTTTTATCTTTTATTGGTTTTTGTTTGTTGGTATAATATTTTTTAAAAAATTTCATTATTCTATTATATTCAATTAAATTTTTTATTTTTATTTTAAATAAAATAAATTTTCATAATTAACGATTGATTAATTATTATTAATTATAATATCGATTATCATTCTATATCTACGTTAGAGAGTTAAAAATATCACATAATTATACTATCATATAGTATTAACATATTATATTATTATAATATGTCAATATGTCACGTGACATAAAATAATAAATAATATTTTGATTAATTTAAATTAATCAATTGTTAATTATAAAAATTTATTTAATTTAAAATAAAAATATAAAAGTTTGATTAAATATAATATAAAAATAAGATTTTAGAATGCATATTAATACCAGTGTTTATGATCTTTATTAATTACTAATAGTAACATTTTGTTTTTTTTCTAGTTTTAGCATTCTTTTTATTGAAATTTGTCTTATTATTAGTGACTTTGATTGAATGGTTATTGATATTTTTAAAAATTTTAGAATCTAAAGTTGAAATCTTTTCTTAATATTTTTCAGACACAAAAAAAAAAGTATATATAAAATAAATTATACTCGCACATACTAACATGACAACTAAGCTTTAATGAAAACAACTATGCATAAGAATTGGACCATAAATTAAAGCATGTGAGAGAGAGAGGGAAAAAAACAGAAAAGGAAACAAAGAAAGCGGGGGGGAGAAGAGGAGGAACCAAGATGATTGCATACTTTATGAACATTGTCAAAGATGGCAAGTAAATTTCTTACAAGGTGGGGATGAAAAATTTGCCTTCAAAATTAGGAATCTTTAAATAGATATGATGAGAACACAAAGGTTGAAATGGAATGGGTCCGTCTGTCCAAAGTATTAATTATCACTTTTGCAAAAAACTACCCAATCAGAGAGCGTAGAAGTGTAGGACCTGAAAGTGTGAAAAGTCCTGAGGGCTAGACAGCACCATTTTTGCTTTAAGGTGAAAATGAGCCATCACCCCTCCCAAATATCCAAACAAAGATACTGCTTTTTTGACTTTTTTCCCTCCTCCACATACCTACCATAGGTGTAGTTTTGTATCAATCTTGACGTCTCACGAAAAAGAGTTTGTCTCCTTTGTATTCATTATTAAGGGAAACTACAACTGGAAAATATTATTTCCATCTTTTTTTCTTAAAAAAAATAAAAGAGTATTATTAAAATTAATAATTTTGCCAATTTACAAACATTCATGTATTGACTTAACTAAACTGAACATATCACTATCGTGTTAATTGAATCTAGGATATCTTAGTGAGAAATACATGCACTTATTTATTAAATTAAATTCTCTAAGTAGTATATTCAATTAGACTTTGATGATGTTCCACATGTGACTCCTCAACATAGATTAGTATAAAAAAGGTTATTTTCCCAAAGTGTTTGACATGTGTTTGTTTCTAAATATAGCCGTTGTTAACACTCTTCGTTTAACAGAAGAATATTGTTCCTCTAGCATGATTAAAGTATAAGACGAAAAAAGAAAGTGGCAATGCACTACACTTCCCCGTCTTGTCTAAAAATTTGAATAAACAAGTTTCATTTCAAAGTTTAAACCTCGATTAGAGTCGATGGAGACTAAGTAGCTGTAGCATTAGGGTGACTTGCATTTATAAATGTCATATTGCTTAAATTATAGACAGGAACTTGCAATAGTAAATGAACTGAAGACAACTAGCTCTTGTCTTAGTCCTGGTCTTGTGTTTGTAGAGGTAATAAAGTACAACTTGTTGGAAACCAAAAAAAAAAAAAAAAGAAAGCCATTTTATCGAGATTTAGCTATTATGCTTGTGAACTTCTAATGATATATAATCAACCACCCAACCAATTGAACTAGCTTCGGAAGTGGAGGATATTTAATTGAGAATTTTAATATAAAATCATCATTCATGACACTCACAAGTTGGAGTTTTTTTTTTTTTTCTTTACGAAAATCTCACGTGTTGGGTTATTAAGATTATCATGAGGTGAGGGAAAAATAAACAAAAATATTATGCGCTTGGCTTTTTTAATATCATAAAAATATAATTATTATTGAATTAAATATTTTAATTTTTATTGAAAGAAAAAGAGAATTAAAAAAAAAAAAAAGAGAGACTAAGGTATCGAGGGGAAATGGAATGTAAAGGAGAGGAAACATATTCCATGTGCGGGTTGATCGAGTGATGGACACGGATGAGCCTAGGAGGCAAAGGTTACCAATTAAGCAAAGCTAGCCTCTCAACTGTCGTAAGAAGTCCGACCCTACCATCTGTGATGTGCGGGGTGACAAGTTTTGTCCTCTTGTGAGTGACGCTCACTTCCCCCATACAGCACGTGGACTTAACTTAGTTTCTCTATATACTAAATAATAAAAATAATAACGATAATGACAATAAAATAAGAGCTATTTAAAAGTATGTTTAAAGTTAATTAAAATATGATGTAATGGTTGACAATTAATGCAAAGATATTTACTTCTTAGGAAAAGTTTAAAAAGTCTTATTGATCTAATACTTAAACTATTGGTTAGGAAAATTTAATTGTAAGTATAAAAAATAAAATAAAATTTTAGTTTGATAGTAAGCATTTCCCTAAGCATTATGTTAGTAATACTTGATCGTCCTAAACTCATAGTAGTGGGATTCATTTGAGATCAGTAGTATATAAGTTTCTTGAATGTGAAGCTCAACAATAAAGGAAACATGAAAAGGTTTTCATAATTTCATTTCTTTTAGTAGTGGTAGTAATTCTTTTTTGGAGGGGCAAAGGCAAAGTTCTTTAACGAACAGTTTATTTTATAGTATATGGTTATATTAACTTCCAATATTTGAGATTTTGAGTATGACATAATTGTGACATCTATTAATCTATAATTCTATTTTAAACAAATCAATTAATAGTTTGACATCACAACTATAATCATAGCCACTCCCCATTTCTCTTCCCTCCCTGTTCCTTCTCTCGCTTTCTCCTTCATTTATACCCTCTTCCTTCTTCTTCTTCTGTCTCCCCTCTTCATCAAACCTCATACTTCTTTGCTTGTCACTCTCTCTTCTTCACCATGACCATAACATAGCCGAAAAGCAATTGTGTCCTGGAACCGAACACGGCCTTAAACTCAAATGGCTTCAGCAAACTCTCTACCGCCAACAGACCCGTCTTCGTCCACGGAAGACCCAGCTGCAAAAGCCGTGAACAAGCGATACGAGGGGCTCATCACGGTTCGAACCAAGGCTACCAAGGGCAAAGGAGCCTGGTACTGGGCCCATCTGGAACCAATTCTCGTTCGAAACCCGGACACCAACCTCCCAAAAGCCGTTAAACTTAAGTGCTCCTTGTGCGACGCCGTCTTCTCCGCCTCCAACCCTTCCAGAACCGCCTCCGAGCACTTAAAACGCGGCACTTGCCCCAATTTCAGCTCCGTTTTGAGACCCAATTCCTCTCTCTCTCCTTTACCTATATCTTCATTGGCTGCCCCTTCTGCTTCATATCATCATCATAATCATCGAAAGCGAAGTCCCTCAGTAGCTATCGTCTCTCCTTTACAAAACCAAGTAAGTAATAACAGTAACGATGATAATAATAACGCGTTGGCTATAGTTGAGTCGACTCGTTTGCTGGGTTTCTCGAGTCATAATAATAACAATACTGCTGGGTTGACTCACCAGCATTTGGTTTTATCTGGTGGGAAAGAAGATTTAGATGCATTAGCAATGTTGGAAGATAGCGTTAAGAGGCTTAAGAGTCCTAAAACTTCTCCTGGTCCAGCTTTAAGCAAGGACCAGATTGATTCTGCATTCGATTTACTAGCTGATTGGTTCTATGAGTCTTGTGGGTCAGTCTCCTTTTCGAGCCTCGAGCACCCAAAGTTTCGGGCTTTCCTTAGCCAGGTTGGGATGCCTGCTGTGTCAAGGAGGGACCTCTCGGGTGCACGGCTTGATAATAAGTTTCATGAGGCCAAGAGGGAATCCGAGGCTAGAATTAGGGATGCAATGTTCTTTCAGGTTGCTTCTGATGGGTGGAAGAGAAAAAATTGTTGCTGTTGTAGTAGTAGTTATACTAGTAGTAGTATTAGCTCATGCTGTGTGGAGGAAAATTTGGTTAAATTTAGTGTTAATCTTCCGAATGGGAGCAGCGTGTACCAGAAGGCAGTCTTTACTGGTGGATCAGTGACTTCCAAGTATGCGGAGGAGGTTTTGTGGGAGACGGTAATGGGGATTTCTGGAAGCGGTGTGCAGAAGTGTGTAGGAATAGTTGCAGATAAGTATAAGGCGAAGGCATTGAGGAATTTGGAGATTCAGAATCATTGGATGGTTAATCTATCTTGTCAACTTCAAGGTTTTGTTAGCTTGATAAAGGATTTTAGCAAAGAGCTTCTCCTTTTCAGGACTGTCACTGAGAATTCCTTAAAGCTTGCAAATTTTGTAAATAATAAGTCGCAAGTTAGAGCAAGCTTTCAAAAGTATAGGATGCAGGAGCTTGAGTGTGCTGGGTTGATACGGGTTCCTTCCAACAAATGCGATTGCAGCAGTAATATTGCACATGTTTTTGCAATGTTGGAGGACATACTGAACTGTTCCCGAGTGCTTCAGATGGTTGTGTTGGACGATTTTTACAAGGTGATCTGTGTTGAGGATCCAGTTGCACGGGAAGTTGCCGGGATTGTCCAAAATGAGGGGTTTTGGAATGATTTGGAGGCAGTTTATTCACTGGTGAAGTTGATCAAAAGCATGGCTCAAGAGATTGAGGTGGAGAGGCCACTTATTGGGCAATGCCTCCCTCTCTGGGAGGAGTTGAGGGTAAAAGTGAAGGAATGGTGTACCAAGTTCAACCTTGCAGAAGCACCTGTTGAGAAAATTGTTGAAAAGAGATTTAGAAAGAACTACCACCCTGCATGGTCGGCTGCTTTTATACTTGATCCGCTTTACTTGACACGGGAGACTAGTGGAAAATACCTTCCACCATTCAAGTGCCTGACTCATGAGCAGGAGAAGGATGTTGATAAGCTCATAACTCGTTTGGTTACCAGGGAAGAAGTGCATGTTGCACTGATGGAGCTCATGAAATGGAGATCAGAAGGGTTAGACCCACTGTATGCCCAAGCTGTTCAGGTTAAACAGCGAGACCCTGTGACTGGAAAAATGAAAATTGCTAACCCCCAAAGCAGTAGGCTAGTATGGGAAACTTGTCTTAGTGAATACAAGTCATTAGGAAAGGTTGCAGTTAGGCTTATCTTCCTACATGCAACTTCTTGCGGGTTTAAATGTAACTGGTCTTTGATGAAGTGGATTTGTGTCCACAGACACTCACGAATAGGCCTTGAGAGGGCTCAGAAGATGATATTCATTGCAGCTCATTCAAAGCTTGGCAGGAGGGATTTCTTCAATGAGGAAGAAAAGGATGCAGAGCTGTTTATGATCGGTAGTGAGGATGATATGCTCAATGAAGTGTTCGCAGATGCACCATAAGTGTAATGCTTTTCTTTTAACTCCTGTAGAATTGTAAACTATAGGATTTGATCAAATTCTTTCTCCATTGTCTTTTACTATTGTCCATCTTTACTTCTTTTCTAATTGCAAATCAGGAAATATATAGATAGTGATTTAGCCACAGTATTTATAAGAATTTCATAACTGCATATTGGAATGAATAATCAATTTATTGCCCAGCCTTGATTTCAGTTTCTTGTGTCTGTAGAGAAGGTACAATTTCTAGTTTATAAACATTAAACAGGTCTGGATTGAAGAACAAGTTGAGATGTAGTATTTTCCTAGAGTAATTTGGGCTGCAGTGTAGTTAAGCTCTTTTTTTTTAATAATTAAAAGATTGTATTTATTAAGTTCATTCTGTATTTCTTTAATCCCCTTTTTAATTTATATATTATGAACTTTCCCTGAATGAGTTTATTGCAGACCTAGTTGTCATATATGAAGCATTATACTTCATTTTAGTCTCTGTTTGAGATGTCTATATCTGGTGGCAAAATAAATATCTATGTTAGGGATTAGCTGCAGTAAATGGCTGAAGTTTTATCACCTTTCCAAATAGATGATTTTATGTTGCAGATATACAGCTGCAGCCTAGGCTTTGCATGTCAAAGAAACTATGATTTGATCAGGAAACTTTTAAGAATTAGGAAAATGCAGTTCTCATTTAAACCAAGAGCAACTAAAAATAATGTTAAATTGCAGTAGAATGTGTTGCATACACTATGCACGTGTATTTGCCTTTTTTTTTCTCCCTCTCATCATATTTTAAACACTCGTAGGACAGTTATTATCCCTACTTTCATGGAAGAAGCTTTTCCTGAAAAAGGTGAATTATAAGTGGACTATACTAAGATTTTACAATTTATGAATTCTAATAAAGAAAATATTAGCAATGGTTAAAACATCTGCAAATGGAGAACAAATAAATGTTTTTGACTTAATACTTGATTCGCTCGTAAAGGCAAACCTTTTATTCTATGGATGGAATGCTCTCTAAGTTGTTTTGGCCTAAAATTAATATTTTAGTCACGTCATCCCAACATGTTCTACTCTTTCATGGTCTATAGGATAAACACATGATGTCCTAAACTGTCAATGAAGTGCCCTGACCTTCAATGAGTTCATCACAAACAAACCAGAGATGTGGAACATTTCATGAGTTTTTGAAGCTGGTGAGCTTCATTTTAATTTTTACTCACCAGTACAAGTTGTATGCCGACACTCACGTGAATCCCAAACAAAGAATTACAATCTCTTTCTACAAAATAATTGTGATAAGTCATCTGACTTGTGTTTTCTGAATCTTTGACCAAAGATGAAGTTAATAATGACTTCAACCTAGCTGCATCTTATATCTGGTTAATCTATTTTTTTCTGGACCCCTATCTTCTGTCTTGTAGGCACAGGAAATGCACCTTGTAAACATAAAACTACCACAAAAGATCATAAAGTTTCAAGTTCAAGATCTGATAAGCCAAACTGCAATTGATACTAGGATGGCCTAATCGTGTTCATAATGTTACATTGCATCAGTAAATTCCTGGAAGGCCGCTGGTTGCTGCCTCACCGCTTGCAAACTCAGTATCCAATGCCTAGCATAGTAAATAGTAACAACAAGACTCAAGTTAGTGTCCTTGTGTATTAACATTTCTGATATTGTTTTCCTCTATATTTTCTTTTCCCCTTATTTAATTTAAACCAGAGACCATGTTCTATATCTAATCCTCCAAGGATAAGGAATCTTGTGAAACCAACTGTTGCTTAGAGCATCAGTTTGTGATATTAGTGCATTTGGAAAAAATCACTAGCTAGGGAATTAATGTCTCATGTTCTATATTGACTGTTTGCTGATCGAAAGACATGACAAAAATGTGTTTGGACTATGCTTACTGCAAAAAGATGCGTCGTGGAATATGGAATTTGTGCAGTTTACTTGATTAGAAGGTTGATAATTGAAAAAGAATGCAAATAGAATTGGTCAAGAATTTTTGAAAGCATCTTTTTTGCCGCAGAGTTGGGTTTGCTTGGACCAGTTGAGCTTGTGGTGAACCAGATTTTGATATCCGCCCAAATGGGTCAACCTCGACTGAACTTCAGAGCATATCTTTGTTGCTGAAGGGCACTTCTTGCTGATATGATCGACTGTATTGCCTGGGTTGTCTGGTTTTGCCAATGTGGAGCCCACGACGAGGAGTGGATGTCCATCTTAGTGCTTTGGTTGTCATAGTCAAGGAAAAGTAAGGACTCAAGGGCCTCCCTGCCCCCCTTGCCCCTATTCTCAGTTTTTTTTATTAGTTTTTTATTGGTCCTGGCAGGCTTATTCTCATCATCTTCGGTAGCTTGTCTTTTAAACATTCCAATTATGGTGACATTCTTACTCTCAGGCTGGGCCCCCTTTGTTTTCAAACTTTTAATGTCAAGATTGAAAACTGAAGTTTTGCGTGGTTATCGGGTAGGATAGCTGCTACAAAGTTTTGAGCAAAGTGGAAGCAAAGAGGTCTGTCGGCTTCGGGAGGCACATAAGATGGTTGATAGGGATATTGCAACAAACTTAACTTGATTTTGCAGGTTCTGCATTTCTGGGAGCATAGTTGACTAACTCAGCAGGTTGGTGGTATTAGTGTTATTCATGCTATTTTCTCATATCAAAATTAGTTTACTAATTTGGTGTCATGCAAGCGTGTATCCTTGCATGAATCATGATGCAATGAATCTTTTATTATTTGGGAGTTGGGACAATAATTTACTAAAACATGAAACTGTCAAAATTTCAAATTAATATACATATACTTAAACATATGCATATAAAAATATATTGGACTGAGATTTTATTCTTCATCTTAATCTTTGTTTATTATTTTTAATGAAATCTTTGCAGGAACTTGGAACTGGAATTAAGGGCCTGCAGTTTCTGGCAGGTGAAGCATTCGAATGCACTGCAAATACCACATGTAGGCATATGCTGTGATTATTGTAACAGTACCAGTAATAGGTGAAAAGGTAAGTTTAGAATGAAGGCTAAATATAGCATAGGAGGTATTTGATTGGTCATGATATTATTTTTTTCCCAATAGTAGCAAAATTGCCCACTATCTTTAATTTCCTATCTGTCACTCTTCATGTCACGCCGCTGACTGGCAATCTCATAGAATTTTTCTAGAAGCCATTGCCACAGCAATTCCTCTATTGACGGGAAGCCCTATCAAATAACTTGAACTTTGCACCGTAGTACTGGCATGTGCTCTTTCTCTCTCTTCAGGCTTGGCTTAGATTTGTCTACCGACCTTCATATGTAGTTGGTATGTTATTACAAAATGTTGAAATTACTTAAGTTTTCACCTTTAGAGTCAACTAAAGTCAGCGCACTGCAGCAGAGTGAATGTAGATTTTTCCACCCTTTCATTTGTCGTTGCTCTTTGAATTTGGGGGACGGACAGACGAGGGACCTGTCGGCAAGGCCAAGTAATGCTGACCGCTCACCAACTAGAAAGGAGGCTTTTTTAACCCGTATGGTATGCCTTATTGTTCATTCCACTAATTTTCTTTGGTAAAGGGGAAGGAGGTATAATCATTAGTATAGGACAGGACCCTCTTTCTACAAGAATCTTGACACTTTCAATGCTACCCCATGATTAACCTTCCTTTTTATCATGTTCTCTTTTTTGTTTTTCCCTTTTCCACTTATACAGCTCTTGATTGTTTTTGAATTTGAAGCAGATCCATGTAAAGACATGTGAGATGATGTTGATTTGGATTGCCATTGGTATAATACTCATTGCTTTGTGGCCCTTCCCTCTTTCCCTTAATCTTCTCTGTATGCTTTTATTTTCGGAGACTGCTATTATAGAAATCAACTTTCTGTTTCTAAAAGTAATAGTTAAAAGTAAAAATACAATAGCATAGAGTGCATAGTGGTCTACAGGATAATAAGAACATGATGATCTCCTTTAATTGCCTGTATGGAATGAACAGAGTGGAAGAAATTGTGGGTACTCTTTTGGTTGAAGCAGTTATTTTGTGGGAGGATTTTAGAATTGGGTTTTACACCAAAGATTCACTTCCTTCTTCTCTCATGGGTCACCTTCTCTGTTTTCTTGTTTTTTCTTGCCTATTTGTTTAAACATCAGTCCAAACCCAAAGTTTATAAATCCGTATTCCTCGTTCTTGGTAAAAGGAGTGAAAAGAAAAGAAAGGTTAAAAGACCTCATAATCAAGGGAAACTAGGTGCTAGCCTAGGCCTAGGGCACTTAAAAAGCTCTGCTAATTCCAATCTCGCTAGGATCACTACCGTAATAATTTGGATGTGTGAGTGAGTTTAAACTTAGCTCGCACCAAAAGGGGAACAAATTAGTACTCCTACCTATCTCTCCCAACTATCTTACCAACTAATAATCATGGTTCATACTCATTACAAAAACTAATTATAATCTCCTAATAATTTTCCCAGCTTCATGATTACACTTCTTTTGTACGGTTCAAAGCTAGCCACCTAAACCGTAGTAGTATTTTGTTTTAAAAAAAAAAAATTCAAAGCAGACAGTTTTTCACATTGGTCCACGTTTAATGGCCCAAAGCCCTTGATGTGCCTTTTAAATTTGACTTCTGGTGAGGTTAAAAAGCTCTGATTGGACTTGCAAATATGCTTTTGCCGGCTTAGTGGAGGTAATTTCCGCTTAACCGTTAACTGATTTGATTTCCACCCAAACAAAAAAGAAAGTGAGTAGTAGTAATTGACATCATTACCTTTTTTCTTTCCTTCTTTCTTTTGTATGTTTTAGGGTTGTTATTATTACTATTATTAGTCTTTAAAAACAGCCAAATCCTACCTGAAACTTTGGGGTTGGGGCAGCTTCTTTTGCATCTGATCTGATAAACGTTAGTTGGGATTTGGGAACATGGTTACCAGCTTCAAAGATAAAGTGTTGGCCTAGCAGCCAGGCCTACCCCAATGGCCCATCCTATCCTTGAATTCCCCCTCCCCTCTCGAAATAATTAAAATTTCACCACATTTCAGGTTGATGTATGGGAGCGCACAAGCGTAATTCCTTTAATAGTAGTAAGTAGTAACCATCTTCTAGACTTAACCACCTCTTGGCTTGTCCTCCTCTTTGGGTCTTTTGGGTTGGTGCACTTCTTCTGCCTTCTAACTGCCACCAACTTTGCAATTATTATATATACAAAATTTTCAAATTAACTAAAGGGATTTGAAAAGCATGAGAATAATAATTCTTTTGTTTTGACTGGTGTGGTTTTCGATATGTAAAAAACAAATTTAATAATTAGAAACTATTTTTTTTCTACCCATTATTTGGTAAAACTAAACTGTGAGGAAAATAAACTGAAATTGTTGATAATAAAAATTAGTACACGGTTTATACAAAAAAAAAAATACCTCCAAAATAAAGTGGACATGTTAGCTTGAAAACACAAACCAACAATGGGCCCAACTCCCTTAGAATGAAATCCATGACACGGGCCTTCTTCTGTCAGCCCATGGCTTGGGTAATTGGAACACTACGGCCTGCAAATACTGGGCCATAGGCTCGTGATGAACCAAATGAACTCGGCGTGGTCTATTCTCCCAGCTCTATCAATCTCCTTGTCCATCAGCTCCACATCATAGAACCCTGGTTTTTCCCTTTAATTTTAGTAAGTATAAGAAGAAAAAAGAGGTCAGAGGAGTGTCGAAATTTAGTCGATCATGCGTCGGAAGAAGAGCAGAGCTAAACGGCGAGTTGTCCCATCGAGAGAGGGAGACGATAGGGACTTGGTTCCCGCGGTGGAGATGGCATTGATTGATTCAGGACCTTCGAACAATGTTCTGAAAGTTGCTGAGGCTGGTAACGAGAGAGAGAAGGACACTGATCGGGAGATTGATTGCTTTAAAGAGGAGTTTGAAGAAGTCGAGAATGTGGTAAGTGCTGTCATGGGAATGGACGCAATAGTTCAACATAATCAAATAAAGAACGGCGGTCACCTTGTAGAAAATAAATCGAATTTTAGTGAAAATATATGCAATTTTGAAACGAATGCTGGAAATGTTTTGGAAGATAGTGAGAAATCGGATAATTTTGATGTTAGTTTGAAGTGTAGTAAAATTGAGGAGGCAATGGAGGAAGGGAAGGTTAGGGGAAAAAATTTGAATCCGAACATCGACGTTTATGCTGTGGATTCAGAGAATGAAATCGAGAACGGTGAAGAAGCCAAAGTTCATGCAAACGCAGGTACTGGACTAATCACTGTCTCACAAATTTTCATTTCAATTCGGTTCTGGCTATTAACTGACCATTAATATTTATAGAAACAATGATTGATATTTTTTATAACAAAAGCTTGAATGAAGTTTTAGTAATAATTGTAATTCATTTGAAAATGCAGATTAGATTGCAATTTGTGCAAATTAGGAAGACCAAAAATGGTAGAAAAGATGCATGGAATCTTTAGGCTGTTGAAATAGATATGAAATCTCTAGATTTTTACACCGTAAAATCTGGTATTATCATGCGTCTGAATACAATTAAAGAAAACGCACTTACATGTTGTGCCACCAGAAAGTGAAGGTGGCACTTATGTTGGTAAAATTTGACAAACTGGAATGAAGCTGCTATACTGTGGATGTTTTCTTTTAACATCTCCGGCAATGAAAGAGCAGCGTTTACTTTTCGATCTTTTGTGCACAATCTTAGGTTAGTTTCTCATTTCTTTAGTTTCTTTTTTGCATAGTTTGTATACTTGCCCCATACTAGTGCGACCACTATCTGTTTAGGTTTTTCCTGTTCATGAAGTTATTAGTTAGAGAAAAATCTCAACATCACTGGAATGGAACATAAATCTGTACTAATAATCTTTTATCATAACTCACTGTTTGCAGTGTTTAATGCCTTGGAAAATCTGTGCATGGAATGGTATTGAGATCGTGGTTTTTTATATTTTTATGGAGATTGAGATTTTTAGTTTTTGAAATATACTATTCCTAGTAGGCATCCAGCATGTAACTGCTCCAATAATCATTTTTATACTAGCACTCATAAGCATACTTCTGGGATTTGTATATTTCTGGTATTGTGAAAATTGTTCTCCCTCCCTGTTCCGAGAGGATTTTGTTTTTCTATTTGTTTGCTTTACCCTTTAACTGGTGATGACTTTTGCACAATTTTTATGTAAACTACATAGTAGTTAGCTTTTGTTGCTGCAGAACAGGAATCAGTTGAAGGGGAGCCTTCTGCTGCTAGAATTAAAGTCATGAAATTGGATGGGCATATTGATGACAGGTACAGCAACAAGGAGGATGATTGTGGGGAGAAACAGCAGGAGAGCAGAGATGACCAGGAACAAAATAAAGACATTGAAGTTAGTGAAGTCAATGGAGTGCCTCCGGTATTTAACCAAGATTTACGAACTGAGTGGAAGAAAGAAAAGCAACTGGAACTACATGTTGGAGGTGTGCATAAAGATGCAGTTGAACAAGACCTGTTTGATATATTTGGAAAGTTTGGGGAAGTCCAAAATGCAAGGATAGTGAGGCACCCAATCATAAATAAAAGCCAAGGGTTTGCTTTTATTCAATATGCTACTGTTGAGCAAGCCAAGAAAGTTCTCTTTGACTTGAAGGACGGGATTAAGGTTAAAAATATAACGTTCCTTTGCATCTGACCTTACCAAAATCTATCACCTTTCTATTGTTAAAGACTATTTTTTTATTTCTTTTTTTCTTCTCTTACTTTTCCCCCTGATGCATGTAGGTGAGAGGCAAGCGTGCTAAGATATCACCTAGCCGTGACCGTGATACACTTTATCTGGGAAATATTTGCAAAACATGGACCAAAGAGGATGTAGGCAATAGAATTCTATATACTCTTTCAGTTTTTGTCTGGGTGCTTGTATAGACCATGCAGTGCATTTGTACAAAGGCAAATCAAGTCATATGTCTGCCAAACTCCTTTTTTACTGCAAGAGGTAGTGACCTTAAATTCTTGATCTGATTTTCGCTCCTTTTTTTGTCTTTTTTTAGGTGCTTGAGAAATTGAAATGTTACGGAATTGAAGATGTTGATGAGATACAAGTACCCAATGATCCTAAGAATAAAAGGAAGATTCAAGGTTTTGCTTTCTTGCGATTTAACACCTGCTGTGTTGCAAAGGCTGCATTCCACCGTCTAAGGAAGCCAGATGCACTTTTTGGCGATGCAAGAGGTGCTAAAGTTGCCTTTTCTCACACCCCAGTGCATCCAAGAGAGGAAGCTCGATTACAGGTTGGGATCCAGAGATGTTATACTTTCTGATATTTTACACTGGAAGCATGATATGTTTGTGAGTGGCTCTAGGCTTTTATCTTTTCAAATTTGAGCACTTGGACCTTTGGGTTGCCGAAAGATGTCATTGATTAAAACATTAAGCTCATAAAAGAAAAGAACTGCATTGCGCTGATAGGAAAACTAACTTTCCATCTGAAGGAGTCACATCGGTTTTTTATGGGTCAGTATGGTGATGACAGTGAATGTGAACTGCTAAATATAGAAATTTATGCAATCAAGCTATGAGATAGATGTGTTGAACTTGAAAAATTATTGTTTAAATGTTCGCTGTGTGGGCTTTCCTGATTTTTCTTTACTAGAAGCAATATAGTGTGAGGGAGAATATTTGTTGATATCAAGGGTAGAAGATCCTTTCTTAGTTTTTCAAAGTACACTTTTTTATAATTAGTACTCTTATTATCTCATAACAGGAAATGATAGAAATTTCAACTCTCCTGCTGTAGGTGAAAACTATTTATATTGAGAGGATACCAAAGTCTTGGGATGTACAGAAACTTAAAACAATCTGTGAACAATATGGTCAGACTAAAAAGGTTAAGATATCTCGGAATTTTGGCAATAAAGGCAAGGATTTTGGATTCATTTCTTTCACCACTCGTGAGAGTGCAGTAGCTTGTCTAAAAGGCATGAACAATGTGCAGTTTGGAGGGGGAATCAAGGTGATTTCATTGTATCTCTTTTACATTTTTTCGTCTCTTTAACAGTATCTCTTAGAGTCAATTTGTGGAGTAGGTTAAAGCTTATATTGCAAGGCCTCTTGTTGGATGGCACCTGCAAAAGAGTACTTGTGGACGAATGAAACCTTATAAAAGGTGTAGAAGTACCGGTGGATGGAAGACAAAAGGTCATGCCAAGTCTGAAGGTGCTGAAAAAAAGAGTGATATGAATGCACAAACTGTTATATACAATTCTAAGACTAAGGGGACTGAAGAGAAGGCAGCAGCAGTGGTACATAAAAATAATCAGGATCCTTCAAATTCAAACCATACCATAGAAGGTGAAATAAATGAACAAGAAAGCATTCCTCCTCAAGCTTATGGTGCTGGTCTGTATGCCAAGCCAAAGAAAACTGATGACAAGAGAAAGAATAGAAAGAGACAAAGGGACCCAATGTATAGTAAGAGGCTGTCAAAGAAACTAAAAGGTTTTTGGGTTCTGTATTGCTTATTGTGTAACTAAACATAGATACTCTTAGAAAGGGAGTCACTGAGTGATTTAATTATCGTTAATTCACAGGTAGTTCACATGGTCGACCTAGTCATTCATCTAGAAGTTCAAAGAGCAGATCTTACTTGAGGAAGGGACCTAACAGGAGTGGAAATTCTGTTGCATATGGCATACCATATAAAGAGGCATATGTTGCACCCAGAAGTGGGTATCCGAGCTATGCTTATGGTGCTATTTCTGAATCCAAGAGGGTGTCTTCAGATTTGGTAATTTGTATATTTGCGCGCATCTATCTTGTGATATCACATATATTTGATCACTTAAATAATGGTTCTATTTAGGAACCCCATGCTGGATTTGTGCAATCTTTCAGGCATGATGACCAGTATTATGCAGGATGTATCACACCTGCTTTTCAACATCAAAGGCAAACTCATGCAAGTAATCTTAAAGTAGATACTCAATATGAAACACAACCTCCTGTTAAGTACTTCAAACATGCACTTGGGAAAGATGCCCTACCTCACGCAGGATTTCTTGAGCCTGCTTTTGGAAAGCAAAGCTTTGATATAGATGATTATCCAGCGATAAGGTTTTTCTTGTGCATCTCACCTCTCTTGATTTGATTTTGGAGTTTGTTCTTCATTTATTTGTTTTACGAGCTTATAAATTTGTTGGCAGAACTGGCGAGTATAACGGTCCAGGCAATCAAGGGCCTGCTTACAGGGCAGGTAGCACACCAATCTTACATTCCTTTATCCTTCTAAAATATTTACCCTAACCCCCATGTGTTAGTCTCAATGTTTCTATTTGTTTATATAAATTTTTGTGAAGGCAACAGGAAACTCTACCTCTTTGTTGACAAAAACACACATGATTGATTCCCCTTCCATTCTTATAAATCATATATATATATATATATATATATATATATGTGGCTATATAGATAATATATGCATGTACATATGTATGGAGGCAAATCTCGTTGGAGGTGGGGGTTTCAACATGACTGCCTCCAATTTCTGCTTTTTTAGACCTTTAACATTTCACCTCATGTTTATTGGTACTTATTTTTCAGAAATTTTTGATGCATTTTGTGTTTAATTTTTCCTTGTAAAGAGAAATTTTAAAGGGAAACATGCAAATTGTCTGGCAGTAACTACGGAGGTCTAATTAGAGTAATACCTTCAATAGAAAGAGATCAATGAAGATTATCTGATTAGAATTGTGCTTGAGCTTGTTTTGGATTGGAATGATTTTATTTCTCTAGTGAATGGAGACCATTGCTGGTAGTCAGAAACTATGTTCATTCTTGACCTATATTTATGGTAACAAAATTATCTCCATTCTTTAATGGAATTTCAAACTGCTATTTCTTTTTGTGTTGCTTTTCTATTGTGGGGTTTGGAATTCTTGATATTGGTTGCTAATGGTGGATGTCGTCTGGTTATTTTTTGCTGTCACCACAGGATTGGCTATTTCACGCTCTTATGTTCCAAACAGCATCGGCTATGCCAGAGATGAGGTGTCTTTCTAATACTCTCACTAGATTGTTTGAATTCATGACAACCTTCATTCTTGCAGATGATACGCTGTGTCATGTTTCCGTTGATTTACTTCCAAAACATTGAAAATTGATCTTTACTTTTGACTAATTTGATATCTGTTCCTGTTGCATGCAGGCCAGTGGTAGTGCTGGTGGCTATCATAGGGTTAGTGGAGCATACCCACCAACGCAAACACACTATTGAAAATTAACTTGAAAAGGAGCGAATTTCATTCTCTCTTCTTTAGTCATCCACTTTGTTCTTGGAAAATAATTTTCTATCTTGTGAAGTTTGAACTTGGTTTGTACTCGTAAACTCTGGATAGTTCCATAGGGATTAATGTCAAGCCAATGGTGATTTAGTCACTTCATCCTACCTCCTTGAACCCCAAATCATATAAAGGACGATGTTATGTTTGTAGAAGTACAAGGAGAAATAAGTTTGATCATCTTCAATAATCTAAATCTTTGATATGTTCATCAAAGTTTATACATTTTTGAATTATTTTTTTTCATTTTGTAATTTATGGCCTGTCTACCAAATGTCAATGCCTCATTGGCCATTGAAAAATATGCCAATATGAAGGGTGAGGGTGCTGCTTTTTTTGTGGGATAAAAAATCTCAGTGAAGATGAAAAACAAGTCATTGGGCAGGGTTAAATATAGTTCTAACTATTTAAAAATAAAGACGGTTAAAACAAAGAAAAGTGACATATATCATCAAAATGTTAAATCTTTTTAACAGCCTTACATCATCCACTCTTATCGCCTCACTGACTTAAGTAAAAGCACCGTATGACAAATCTGCCACAACGATGAACCTATTTTATTGTCTACACTTTCACTTGAAAACAACCATTTTCTTTATTCTGATATTTATTCAATATTTACATGCGCACTAGCTGCCTCCATCAGCCCATTGCGTATCTGCTCACCAATATCCCTAACATGGCCAGGTCCGTGGGGAATAAAAACAGTAGTGTTCTTAGAGGAGTTCCCAAGGTCCTTGATTGTATCAAAGTACTGCGTGATCATTATAAGATCCATCACCTCCTTGGCTGAGGTGCCTTCCACCTTGTGAGAGAAATTCAAGATGTTCTCCCTCAAGCCATCTGTGATTGCCTGGCGCTGCCTGGCCACACCAACACCACCCAGGTACTTGGATTCAGCCTCAGCTTCTGCTCTTTTAACTTGGAGCACCTTCTCAGCTTCCCCTTTGTACACACTGGCAAGCTGAAGTCTTTGAGCTGTAATACAAAATTGTTACAAAGGTTAATCTCTCTTCAACTTCTGATGAATGGCACTCAAGTGTACGTTGACTATCTACACGTCATTGAATTAGTTGCCACCTTGCTCTAGTATTACATCATTTACATTCATAGCTTAATTTGTGCAGGGAAAGGAAAGAAGATTGATACGATTCTCACAGCAACTGAAGTTAGGTAGTAATTTTCCATCCTTTAATAAAATTTCATATGCATGTATTTTAAAAAGAAAAAAGAATTAAAAGAGATGTCTCGATGAAGTAAGAACATTCTGGTAAATATGTCATTACCTGCATTTATCTCATTCATTGCCTTGCGCACAGCAGCATCAGGTACAATGTCAACCAACAGTATGTGCTCAATGCTATATCCATATTCTCCCATCACCTGATACATAATTTAAGATTCCGTACATTACATGAAAAGCCTAATACAGGACAGGGAGGAAGCACATAGATGGAGAAAAGGTGACAAAAAATCAGATGGAAACATAACTTCTCTCTGGTGCAATTAGATAGAAAATAGTCGTAATTTATCATGTAAAATTCAAAATCTCATGTTTTACATAACAAAAAACTTGTCCATTCTCCTCCTCCTTACACACTTGTATTCCGGGAAAATCTAATTCCTCCTTTCTATTTTTTGGACAAAAGGGTGAGGTTGCTAAAGTATAGAATTTCATTAACCATCAATTTTGGGATACACCAAATTTAAAGAAACAAGTGCACAACTGACTGCCTTAAAATATTTCAGATACCAGTGGATTTTATTTGCTATACCAGCTCAACAGTTTCTAACCCAATATTCCTCCAATGCAGATAATTTAAGCACACTTGAGTACTTTTAGTACATGAGGGTAAAGGAGAGAAAAAAAATGCACTGAATCACCTTCTCAAGTTCCTCAAGAACAGCTTTAGCAACCTCACCCTTTTGTTCAAAGAGATCGTCCAAATTCATCCTTGGAACTAGAGCTCGAACCACTTTCAAAAATAATCAGAAGCATTAGTATATATAGAAATAAAACAGGAGGGGGGTTGAACCATCAAATGAATAGAAAACCAAAAAAATTACCATCAAAAACATAAGCCTGGATCTGTTCTTTGGGATTTTGCAGCTCATAAAATGCATCATCAGCATGTGCCTTTACCACTCGGTATTGAATCGAGCAAAGCAATTGCACAAACACATTGTCCTACAAAATGTAACATCACCCCATATTCAAATTCCTATTCTCTCTTCTTCTTCTGATAGAATAACAATATCATTATCGATATTGTTAAATAATAGTTACCAACAATTATAAAATTTCTTTCACACTCAAAAGTCATTCTTTTATCATTTCTCTAAAGGAAGTTAAAACTGTCACCGCTATTGCGCCATCTTTCACCAACAAAACATGTAAACGAACTAATCAAACACAACATAAAGAAAAATTATGATCAATTGAATTCAATTCTACTAGCTAAGACATATAGGGTTAAAGGAATCATCAGGTGTGACATGCAGCGAGTGAATTAAGTAATTACCTTGGTTTTGGTTTCGATGCGCACATCGAGGGAGGAGATTCTGGTAGAGAGGATACCAGCGAGCCACTGGCCGGCGAAGGGGTTGAAGAAGTGGAGGCCAGGATCCGCCAACTTCTCGAAACGACCCCACCTCTCCACCACGCCTATACTCGCCTGCCCGATGCACGTGCAAAATACGCACGACGTATTCCCCATTTTTCTCGATCAATAAGAACTGATAAAAACAAGAAAAGAAAAGGAATATAAAGCTCTCGTTTTAAAGGCGACACCGGTATTTGAAAGACCGGGCGATTGACCCGAACAGGAAACAAAGCCTTAGTCCGTTTGGGTTTACATGCCAGTATTTACTTTGTCAACAAGAGAACTTTGACTTTGATATCAATCGGAGGCTCCAGTGTGCAACGGACTACGGTAAGGATTTTGGTTTTTTTCCTTCTTGCATCCTGTTATGATTGAATGGCGATGACATGGTTTTGCTTCAAAAAAACGTACTTGTTTCGACTGGACGCGAATAGAGGCTGTGATTACTACGTCACGCAGGGGATCATTTCCTTTTGCCACGCCCGATTTCCCATGCGCCAGGGGATTTGTAAAGTGATATTTATATTTTTTTCCCTTTTTCTATTAGAAATGTAGTTAATTTCCTTTTTTGAAGTTATAGTTCTAATAGCTACTAATCGTTTGATTGTACTAATTCCCGCCTGCTTTACAATAGATGTTGGTCGTTTTAGAACATTACGTTGTTCAGACAGACATACGCATGAAGCAGGTCTTTAATTTATACGAATTATTATATTAAAAATTAAAATTGTTATTTTAATAGAGTATAGAAATTAAATACATAATTTGACCCATGAAGTATTATTCATCAAATTGACATTATTGCAATTAGATTATAAACTTATGATAGGAAACTTGTGATTTTGAAAATTTTAATTTTTATTTCAATCACCCTTTTTCAAATCATCAATTTTTTTTCCTCAAGGATCACTCATTAATTTAATTGACATCGAAAAATGAACTTCGAAATTTGAAAATTCTTTCATTTTACAAAAAACAGAAGACTTTCAAGTTATTCAACGCACAAACAAACCATTTTCTTAACTAGACCTGTCCACAAGCTGGGCCTTAGATCCAATTTTTTTTAGGCATGGCCCTGCTTGAAATATTTTTATGTAATTTTAATTGCAAAAACTATATTTTAAAATAATAAAATTATTAATATAATAAATTTATCTTAAATATTTTCATAATAAATACCATTTAAATAATAAATATTGAATATTAACGTTAAAGTTCATTTGTTATTTTAATCTAAAATATTTCTTTTTTATTATTAATATAAATAATATTTAATATTTCACAATAAAAATTACTATTTTGATATTTTAATAACAGATATTACTAGTAATGACAAATTTTCTAAATATATTTAAAATTTGAATTCGTTTTTGGGAAGCCCATTTTTTAGGGAACAAAGGAACATAACATACTTAGTGTAGCATTTTCTTAATATATTTTGAATTTGTTTTTTGGAAACCCATTTTTCAGGAAACGATGGAACATACACAGCGTAGCATTTTGAGTTAAAAAAAGAAGGTGCATGTTGATTCATGTGGGATCCATGAAGATGGAAGAGAGAGAATTATTGTGAAACAAAGTAGAAATTGCGGCTATTGCCTAAGGTTTCACCCTTTTTCAGGTGAAAATATGCTTGAAATCTTCTCATTCTGCATCAGCCTTCGGTCTTCCACAAGGATAGATGGAGATGGTAGCTCTAGTACTTGATTTTGCATTAAAGCAAAAACTGAGATTCTCCGGGCTTCAGTTTTGGGTTTCTGATACAAAATTTTTTTGACCAGAAACAAACCCCTTAATTCACAACATTCCTCACATGAAAATAATAGGAAACATGAACAAAACTGCCTTATACCTCATAATTTCTATCATCAACAAACGTCAAACGCTATCATCCAATCAACACCAAGTTATAATCATTTTTTCGTTATGTTCATTGCCCTTTTTGCAAGGTCGTCAACACTATAACTTGTTTCCTTGAACACATTGGATAATATCACGTAATTTATTTATCTGCTAAAACAGTTTCTACAACTTTCAAGGTTTCTTACCACTATTTAGCACATACAGTATAGTAATAGTTGAATTTGATTCAACGATTAGCGATTATTTTTCCCAGGTCGCATGGAATTGCAAAATAATTCTAAAGTCGCTTTAGCATAGATTTCGATACAGCTAAAATCAAATACACCAAAATGGTCAGAAAACAAAACAATAAAAATACTATCGGAATTTCTTAAAATATCTCCTCATCCCGCAGTGTCTAGCTGGCTTTACCTCCAGTCGAGCTGTCGACATTGAACTTTAAAAGATTTGCTGGAGAGGCTCTCCGCTTTCATGTAACATGCTCTTCCATATCTAGCAGATGATCTACTTCCATCAAAATTAGACCGAGGCAGTCGGGCAGGTAATCGTGCCCACTAAGCCCAAACGGCAAAGCCAATTAAATTTTTATCTTGAAAAGAAGTTAAAGAGAAGAGAAAGTTGAAAGATTACCCACCAAACCCAAACCAAAAACCCAAGATTAATCCTCCCTGCATACCACGTAACCCTCTTGATATTAAGAAGTTTTTTGGCTCTAGGTCAGAAAGAATAGCTTCATTAGTGCATTAATATAAAATTATTACTCTAATTATATAAGCACAATATAATTACAATTGGTTTATTAGTCAAAAATGTCGAAAAAAGTAAGACTTGAATTTGATTGAACGTCTCCTTTTTTACTACTGACTCTTTATTAGTTAGAACTTGTCATGAAAGATAAGGTAACAAACATATTATCCATTTGCTTTGATATCTTTCTAGGTGACTATAAAACAACGGTAAAATGCATAAAAAAACTAACTTTGGTTTCGAAGTATCTTTTACCTCATTTTGTTTCTATATATAGTAATTAAGTCCTATGAATTAATCCCAACAAATTCATGGCACAGTTTGTTCAGTATGAATTTTATATAGCTCAAAAACATCTCTCATTTTACACATGTACATATTTCCACCCATGCCGGCACGTGTTCAAACGTATAGGTGGAGATATTTGGTACTCAAATTTTAATAATTAGATGAATTCCTATATAAATAAGATACCGTATTAAATAAAAAATTGTACCTTACATTGTTGACACATGCAGACATGTTCCCTCCAAGGATGCGTTACCCTTTCAAGCAGAATCTTGAGACCCACAACTTGTTTATTTCATTCTGCACTCCCCATTTCTCCTCATCTTCTCACTCCCACGTTCGCTTGATTTTCCTATTGGTTTCTTGGAATCCAATCGAAGGCTAGAAAACAAAAGAAAAATCCTCAATAGCTTAGAAAAATTCGAGAACATCAAGTTGGCCTGACCGTAGCTACCTATTCGACCACAACAATAGCATCCTCCCCCCATGCAGAATCAGACAAACGGGGCCTCTCATAATGCAAGATATCGTCGACCACAAGACAAGAAATTGAATGAATGGGGTTTTGCTTCGTTATCCATGTGTTCGTGGCATCTTGATCTGATCTAGATTCTAGATCTCTGTTGGGGTTTTGGGGGGCAAGAATAAGAGTTTTAATAACAATGTAGCCAGCTACATTTAGTGCCTTATTCTTTGAATGTTTTAAAAAGGGAGGGTTTGAAACTTTGAATGCTTAAAATGGACAATAGTGGTTCTGTTTTTCATTCGCTTTTTAAGACAGTTTACTATCAGTTTTCAATATCTTGTTTTGTCTTGTTTGAAGGGCACGTTAATGGTACATGCACCTCTCTACTACGTAACAGGACATGACAATTGACATATGCAAGCAAAAAAGGCTAAGGCATGGAGCAGATACATGCATTTCTGCAAATAATGCCAGCCTTATGCATTCAGCAAGAAATCCTGCTCAAGTAGATGAGATGACCTTTGATTTTTAACAGCTGCAAATTGAAGCTATACTTTGGTTTTCATTTTAAGTATAGTATAAACAAGGAAGAGCATTATGAATCCAAGACAATTATTCTGTTTAATTTGTCTTAAGATAAGGTCACAACAAATGTGAGATAATTTTCGTTTTAATACAAAGGAAAAATTATACTAAACACAAACATTAAACCGAACGTGATGAAGATACTTTCACAGGTGAATCCTTAAATCTCAAGCATGCAAACTAAGGCAAAGCTCATGAAATCAAGTTAGCAATACTTACCCATGAAGGTGAGATTTTATTCTTTTTTGGCTGAATAATGACAAGTAGCTAGCTAGCTACTAACATAATTAAACCATATCCATTTGTACGTAGCAAGAAAAAAATAATCCTACATATTTGTCTTTCTCTTGAAACTTCATTAGTTAGTTTAAGCAAATACAGTATCCGCGATATAGCAAAAGTACACCTCAAAGTACTTTTGCTTCTTCTTCTTTATAAATTTAATACTTGTCAAATGGAATTTATCAAGAAACACATGCACCCCAAGAAAATGAAAAAGTTTATGGTCACAACTCCAAATACTAGGCCAACTGTCTGAGTTTCTAATTAAACTACCCGTACATATAAGGATTGTGCCTTAACGTACAACTTTTTTCCTTTAACATCGAAAGAAGCAGATACAAGCCAGAAAAACATCCAGAACAGCAGCTTAATTAGCTAGTTAAATACAATGGCTTATACCCCAACTTGCAACACGTGTTCCAGTATTCTACCAGTACAGTTAATCTCAAAGTTTTGATTTTAATAATACGAGTTTTGTTGTGTTGTGGGCAGAGTTAGCATGGAGCCTTGTCTTTTTTATCTCTAAGATACCAACATAATTTGATGCCTTGCTGTGGAGATTTTCTGATTTGATTTCAAAATTTCTGCTGTCCCTCCCAGAAAGGACACAACGGGTCATTCATATATAAACATTTTCACAATAGCATGTACCCTACATAATTAAATCTTTTTATGCTGGTTCCAATTTAATACTATAATTAAGCATATAATGTTTCTTGGAAAACTTTTGATAATTATTGAGAGGCTTCTGGGAAGTTTACATAAGATCTGTTGGTCAATATACATAAATAAGTATATGCAAGTATAAGATTATCCAATGCCGTCCTTTTTTTTTCCTAACTAATTTGGAAATAAAAACCTAGGTAGCAGATTTATATATTTAATTGGTAGAGAATTGGAAAATGATACTATGTAAATTGATATAATGACATATGAACTGGTTAATTTTAAGATTATACCTGTCAAAGTGTTCATGTTCACAGATAAATCCACCATTTGCAGATTGAATATGGTAATCCACTTAATTTGATTTCTTAATACTTTGAAGATCCAGCTGTGTTCTTTTACTCAATTTGCAGTTTTATTTCCCCTTGTAGTGAAGAAAAAGAAAGAGCAGAAAAATACAGGCGCAAGCCAAGGAAAAGAGAACTATTGGAACTATGAGAAAATAGAAATTGTTTGTTAATTACCGGTATGATTTGAAGCCTGTCCCAGTTGGATTTTTTTCCATTTTGTTTTTTCTTTTTCTTATTAATTTTTAAACACAGCCAGTTGGATTTACATGGCACTCTTCAATAATGTCACCGTCCTTAAGTTCCCCCTATATAAGCCCGTTTTCTCTTGACCAAGACATACATCCATCATTTGTGCAAAGGCTTGTACAACCCTCCAGCTACTTTCTATCCAAAACCTGCATCAAAACTAAAAACGAGATGGCTTTCTGGTCTGCTGAGAATGCCACAAAAGCATACCTCAAAACATTGAAAATGGTAAGTTTCCCTGATGTCCAAAACAATATATCAATTAGTTCTCCTTGCCCTTGTCTAGTTCCCGTTTCAATTCTCTATTAATCCTATCTGACTTGGTTTTTGTGTAATCTTCCGGCAGGGCCAGAAAGCCCAAGAACCAAATGTAGCCGAGTTCGTTTCAGCCCTTGCAGCTGGTAACAATGCACAACTAATGGTTGTGGCATATGCTACTGCTGCCAACTCTACTGCTTTAGCCCTTGTGGCCGCTGCTCACCAAACTGGTGGCCATGTAGTTTGCATCGTCCCCGGAATTGAAGAACTTCAACTGTCCAAGAAAATCCTGGGCTATGATGAGAGCCATATTGAGTTTGTAGTTGGTGAAGCTCAAAATCTTCTGCTAAGTGACTATAGGGATGCTGATTTTGTGCTTATCGACTGCAACCTGGAGAATCATGAAGGAATTCTTAGAGCAGTGGAGGCAGGTACGAAACGCAACGGAGCCGTTGTTGTGGGCTATAATGCCTTTTCCAAAGGTTCATGGCGGTCCAGTGGATCGAGAACTCAACTGCTACCTATAGGAGAAGGGCTGCTAGTCACTAGAATTGCTGCAAAAGCCAAAATTGATGGTGGTTTTGGAAAGAGAAGTCACTGGGTTGTAAAGGTGGATAAATGCACTGGGGAAGAGCATGTGTTCAGGGTCAGGTTTTCGCAAGGGAAAGGAATCGGAGCTTAGAATATGGGCAGTGCTTCCTTTGGCTGCTTAGGAGAAGTCCAGATTTTCTCTCTTTATTTCCCCTGCTTTCCAGCCAACCAAATGGAGTAAAAGGTCTTTAGCATAGGTCAAAATTAGTTTATCGGAGAGCTTTTAATTTGTAAATATCGAATTATATACAGCAAATCATTGTCTCAAAGATAAAGGGTTGATTCCACTGTGCCTTGATATTGGTGGAGGCAATATGAACTTTTCACTTGTACGAAAGGGAAGCAGATTAATTTGTAAAGGCGTCCTTGAATGAAATTTCCTTTCATAAGACCTCCAGAAAGTAACATGCCCAAAAATCATCATTTACGCTCTATCACTTGATTTTAGATGATTGCCAGACAGTTAATAGGCCAATAAGGCAATTCACTGTTGATAGAGAGGGTATTAAAGTAATGATAAAAAAATTTCACATTAATTAAGTAAAAATTATTTAAAACACATAAATATAATAAAACTATCTCTATTTATTTTTATTTAAGTTTAAATTATATATCCATCTTAAAATTTAATAATAACTTTTATTTTTACTTACCTCGAATTTACTAATCCTGTTACAAAATGGAAATATCCTTTTTCCCTGCCTTAATCTCCCTCAGAAACAAAATTCCAATAACTAATTGTCATTAGCACCCAATACAAGAGACATAATTAGCTAGGAGTAAAAATGTAAAATTCACCTATTCATTCCTAACGGATTCACCTTAATATGATGCATATAATAGAGGCATGAATTGTTGGTGTAAGTCTTGCAAGTCAATCGATTTTATACTTGTAAAATATTATATTAATTAATCATATTTCATGTTAAATACATTATAAACATTTTATATAATGCATGAGATATTTCTTTATTTAAAAGTTTATCTATAAAGAGTTATGAGAAACTTCCGTAGGTAAAGTCTTTGGGATATAATGGTCTTGTAAAGAAATAATAATGATTATAATTGTGAGATTTCTATGCATCAAAACTTTATTTCTAAATATGTTCTTGATTATTGTATTATCAAGAATAAAGGTAATGAAAATGTTCAAAGACTGATATATGCTAAGACTTCTTACTTTGTAAGTAAGCAACCGATCTTATAGATTAAAGTATGTGAGATACTTAGGAATAGTATGTGAGTGCTTGTTAAGGAATAAGTTCCCTGAACATGATTTGCTATGAAAATTCCATTTGGTATTTCACTTATATGTCTTTGAAAATATTCTAATGTATCAACATTGTAAGTAATCTTTAAACTTGAGATACCAAGTCATCTTGTATGTGAATTGCTATGTTTTAATTTCATTGTTACAAATTTGGCAGCGATCAGATGCCTAAACATGATATTTTTGGATATGGCATGAAACATATAAAGATGAACAAGTAGTTCAAAGAGGATTTATCATCCCAAGTGATTTGAAAAAGACATATCTCCATAGCTCTCAACCTATATTGACGAAATCCTTGGTTGAGACTAGACTTGTCAAAATGGGCATAGCCCATCGGGTTGGCCCATTTTCTATTAAATATAGGGTGGGTTGGGTTGAAATATTTTAGCTCATATTAGAATCGGGCCTAAATGGGTCAGCCCACCAAATCAGTGGGTTGGGGCAGGGCCAACCCTATGGACAAAAAAAAATAATTTTATATATTTAATTATGTAAAATTAATAATTTAGTTATCAATAGTATTGCTTATTTTATATATTTCAATATCTTTAATCTTCACTTGTCAAAGTAAAAATTTTAATTTAAATTAAAACTTTTTATCTCTTTGTCTTTTATGGTAATGAATATTAGATGATAAATTGATAATAATTCAGACCTTTAGACATCATTGCTGTCTAAACAAGATTTAAACGTTTTACTTGAAAATGAAGATTGAGGAGGATATAAATGAGTCTTGAAATTTTTATTATTTGGTTATATACTTATGTTTATGAGATAGTAGTTTGTGTTAAAGATTTAAACTTTATTATGTAATTTATTTATTTTTTATATTTAGTGTAATTTGTTTATTTGTAATATATTTTTATTATTCAATTTATGAATTAAATCATAGAATAATTTTATTAATAAAAAATTTATTAAGTAGAATTATAAAAATTAATTTTTTTTAAAAAAATAAAAATGAGTTGACCCAACCCAACTCATGGACTAACAAGGGGTGGGCTGGGTTGAGGTTTTGATAGCCCATATAAAAAATGGATTGGCTCGGCCCAACCCATATTTTTTCAGCCCACAAGAGCTGGGGTCGGGTTGGGTCGGGCCAGCCCATATTGACAGCTCTAGTCGAGACGATCTTAATAGGTCAATATGAAGCTTTAGGACTAATATGAGATGTCATAAGTAGACACTTTACCATATTTCATGACATATATGAGATATTTGATAAAATGATCAAATTATACTAAAATACTTTACACTAAAAGGTTAGTCAAACTATATTTACTCTTTTAACATTTTGATGGTCATAATGTTTTGCTAGATATCGTTCATAATATATAAATATCAATAATTTATATTTATTACTAATATGTTGAGGGCTTAATGGGTCGCACACAATAAGATAACAATGTAAAATTAAAATGGGATTTGTACTCAATTGAAAATTTAAAATTTCCAATCTAGACTTAATTAAATGATTTAATTAAGTACAAGGGTTAACTTGTAATTAACGAAAAGTTGAATAAGCAATTTAACCTAACCATAAATACTTAAATGTGGATGCTGCATCAAAAAGGGAAGAGTTAGAGAAAAGAAAGACTTGACAAAAAAAAAATCAGAAGCACCCTACTCCTCAAAAATATTTTTTTAGGTGGGTTCCAATTTCTTTATCATTTTTTCTATCAAAACTGATTATTGGAAAGGTGAAATTTATGAAATCTTAGCCACTAGCATCACTTTACGATATATATACATAATCTCTATCTTGAGGAAGGTTTTCATTTGTCACATGTGTGGAGAGACGGGACACATGAACAATTTTGGTTTATGACAACCAATTTTGGTGTCCAATCAAGAAAAGGGGCCATGACTTGTGATTTATTGAAATCACTACTAAAGGTATGATTCTAATCATTTAATTGTATGTATGAATGTTAATTCAATCAAATACCAAAACTAGTGATTTTATAAAAATTTTAGTTTTCTATGTTTATTTTAGCAATGCTATTTAATTTAATTGTTAATTTTTGAATTTAGTTCTTTTCTTTAAACATGTTCGAAATCTAGCATGATCAACATTGATGTATACAAGAATTTCATTAATATAAAATGATCATAGAACCGTGCAAACACAGTAGGGCCAGGTAGATTTTGCAGAGATAGGTTTGATCTATTTTAGTATAATTAAAGTTTAGTGATCATAATTTAATTATAATTGTCCTGAAGCAACGTGGGTCTTCCTTAATCTGTCTCTAAGATAGATTAACAATATGCACGGTTGCATAGTTCTGCAATTTAATGTCCCTTTTACTATGGACATCACAGCAAGTTAATGAATATTTGGGGATGGGCGTAAAGCCTGGGGTTGCCGGGATGCTTAAGAGAACACTAATTGGAATTCATATTTCTTAAGGGCTTGCTATAGAGTAAACATCTTTTTCGTTTCAAGGGCACCAACCACCATTTTCGGCTCAACCTTCAACCGTCGCTGTTTCCCCGACAAAAAGAGGGTCCATCTTTAACTAGGTTTGCAGAAAGTCCAGATTCCAAAGGCCCAAGCCAGAGTCTAAAGCTCCTTGCACATGCGGAGCATCTCTCTTGGTGCGGTGGTCACACTTGTTGCAGCTTTCCCCAAGCAACTGCAGCGTCTCGGAATTCCTTTGGAGCCCAGATGGCCTTAAGCCCCTAACTCTCAGTTTTTAAATTGACAAGCACGAGGTTAGAAGAGAGGACAAAGAGAGAGGACAAGAACAAAGTATTACTTACAGCCGCTAGTTAACTTTGGTGAGCAAACTGTTCAAATTTAAATGTTGTAAATTTGTAGGAAACTTTAATAGACAATATCAGTTCCAAGATATCGGATCAGATTGTACATTACAACCATTTTGATGTTTTGCCCGACATGGATTCTCTCTCGTCTCCTGTTCATGGTACTGTACAGTCATCCCAGATAGATCAAAGTACCGCCCGTGATTATTTCTGGAGCGCTCTTTTTGTCCTTATCTCCGCTGGGTTATATGGGATCCCACTTTTGAGCCTGAAGAACTGTAGAAAACTAGGAATCCAAGGAGCAAGGAGGAAAATACAGAGACAGTCGTCATTAAGAAGCCTAATTAATCATTCCGGTTTATGACGTTCCCCATATTAAGGACAGGTAATCTTTGTTTGTTTGACATAATTTTACCCCTGTGACAACATATAGATATAAGTGACAAAGACTAAATTGGCCATGACTGCTATAGATAATAATGGATCGATGGGGCCTAAACTTAAAGCACGCCAATGAAATAGGAGAGCTTTCATTTCTCATTTTTGTACTCTCAAGTATCAGTATACTGCCTAGAGTGATACCTTACCAGACGTCTCCCAAAGAACAGTTGAATGTCATCAAGGAGCATGTAAAAAGAATACTTCGAAACCAACAAAAGAAGAAAGAAGTAAAGAGATTTGATCGAGCTACTTTCATTTTTCAAAAGAACTTGTTGACTTCTAAGAAGCCTACTCTTCCTTAGCTAAACACCACCGAGAACGAAATTTTAATATTGTTTAGATTTTTGTTTTCTACTTTCCGCTGTTTATTTTTTATTTTTTAAGTTTTTACCTTTTATTTTTTATTTATTTTTTCCAAAAATATACAAAAAAAACAGAACATCAATGACATTAAGTCTCAAAACATCAATCGCAACCATAAATATAAGGCACAACCAATGGTCCAGGCATTGCAGGCTCAAAATAAACACAGGGATAATTAAAAGCCTAGAGAAATATTGGAGATGAAGATAAATTAGGGTTAAAAGCGTTCAGCCAATGGTTAAAAATCCAACACTTTACAAAATTTTCCCAAGACTGAGGTTGATTTCACATGGAAAATCCCCTATAAAGTCCCATTAGCAGGGTATAATAATGCATAACATTCACAAGGTCTAGTCCTCAGCAAGAGGACTCAAATTAAGCATGCTCCTTTTCA